AAAATTATATATATTCAGAGACTAAGCGTTAGTCTAACAGTCCCCCAAACCATTTCATCAACAGCCAGTGTATGAGACAGGGTCATGAATAACCAGGTCAAAGCAATCCCCTATATATGTTGTGTTTGATATGTACATAGCACACCGCCCTCACCATTAAATCTGCATAGAATCAGTACCGCCTTGAATAATGGCCCATTTTCAAAATACAGCCACATACATGCAATTACCTAACAGCCTTAGGTGGTGGTCAATTAACTTCAAGTCTCTCCCAACCTGAACTTGGCCGACATAGTAGCTAGATATATGCAGCTTCAGCAAACACTACTAATCCACTGGGGGACTCCAGACTACTAAGTAGTGTTGGAACTACCAGCATTCTAGTGTTTGTTCTTCAAAAGTACACAAATTCTACTGGCAGGAATTTGATTTCCGGACATGTTCTGCTCTTCCAAATTTTGCAGCATATTCATATTACTTCCTCGGTGGAACATTTAAAATGCATTGTTATTAACTTATCACGATGTTGGTAACATCACACAAAGTAGATATCATAAGGAAATACTACAACTAGGACTGCGACTGCTGGGAAAGTCTCATCCCTACAAACCTCAACCCAATCCTGTAATCCTGTAAAAAGGACAAATTAGTTTAAAACCTCCAGAAATTCCTACTACAAACATGTCAACAATACACCATGTACCAAGTACTGCCAACAGTAAAAATAAATGCAAACTCCCTAAAACCCCCAAAATAAAAGATGTTTACATCAACAAAAAGCCTTCTGAATTAACAAGGAATTAGATGTCTTAAAAAACAAATTGAATTATTTTGTCTGCCAATTATCTGCAACACCTATATGTCCTGGTGAAACAGGAATATAATTCTGGTCACTCCCGGCAAATCCAAAAGTTCAGCAGTTAAAAATGTAACTCGATACAATGTACTGTGAACTACATTCGTGATTCATTCAATCAGGAAAATGGCATTTCCTTGTCCTTGTGTATTCCACACTAAAACAAGATATATATATATATAAGAGGAATTTTCTTACAGTTTCCAAACATGACCCGCTAGGCAATGACAATAATGGAACATGATTTTCCGTCTATTGTTACATTTGAGATGAGCTGCAGTGATGGCCACAGAGATCATGTAGACAGCACTGATTATTCTATTATTCCCTTCCACAGTGCTAATCATGTAATGTTAAACACCTACAGCATAGGGTGAATTCTCTTTCAGAAACTGAAACATCAATTGGAGCTGATGCTTTTATCTATCTTAAAAAGGTGCAGTGTGTCCAAGAAGAGATTACATATGCATCTGATGCCTCACTCACCCTGTGCATCTGCAGTTTGTAGAAAGAGTCAAGTAAGAAATGAGTAAGTGAGTCTAGTTTACACTGCACTCAGCAATATTCCAGCTATATGGCTCTGGTCTGTAAATAATCGAATCTGGACCAGACAATCCAGTGATCAACAGCATGAGCATTGATCTGCACAATTGGGAACCGATGACATGTGTCAACCAAGTCTGTGACTCGTAGTGCGAGCTTGACCACCCGATCCTGTTAGTCACCTCTTACGACAAGCATGGGTTACTGAAGATCAATATTCTAACCCGGACCTTCACGGGTTGAGTCAAGCAAGAAATTACATATGTAATGCGTCAAAGATGATATTTGTAGTTGGTTCATATAATATTAATTTTAATCTGCCAAGTTTCTGCATGAATTTTTTTTAATATTTCATGCCGTCCAGCTAACAAGAGATTGTTGCTATCTACAATTCAATTAAGAATCAAGTTTCACATTTCGTTTCATAAGTGGTAATGCTAATAGTAGAGACACAATAGTGAAAGACTGACACATGTTGATGCATGTGTTGATTTGTTATGTATTGCATGGTCAGGTATAAACTTGTGATGCTGTCACTTGTTACACACCGACAAATGTGTCAAGGAAGCTATTACATGTGCGGCTGATCGCTCACATAACCATGCCCACACACACACCAACACTCAACAGTCCGGTACAATGCTTTATTGTGTGATCGCCATTGACAACAGTCTACAAGTCAATTGTTACATATCAATTTCACAAAATGAACAATGGAAATTGAATTTGCTAATGTCACTGAACTGGAAATCTTTCTGAAAGCCTGAATGTCTTGACTACTCATGTCCTTCCACAGAAAAATAAGATCATAACAAACTCGAAGGGGAAAGTAATTTTTGTTTGTTACAACAGTACATATAATTCGTTATACGCATTTCGACTTAAATATACCACTTGTGGCCGATACCCAGACAACTAATCGTCTTATCCATTAGTTCATTGTCAGTGTGTTTATTCTACTCACAGCTTGTACATATAATTTGTCTAAAAAGTAATCTCAAGACTATGACTTAAAGTCAGCAATAAAGTAGAGACAGTATAGTCATTGTACAAGTAGCTTTAGGGAGTGAACACCTCATTTCTTATTGGTTGTTCATAGCCACAGCCAGAAACACTCTAGTTATGTGACATGTCTATAATAACATCTGGACCTGACAATCCAGTGATTGATGTGATGAACAACATATAACTAGCAGATCATGACAATACACAATCCCCAAGGTCACTGTGGGGCCTGTCTATAATAACATCTGGACCTGACAATCCAGTGATTGATGTGATGAACAACATATAACTAGCAGATCATGACAATACACAATCCCCAAGGTCACTGTGGGATCTGTCTATAATAACATCTGGACCTGACAATCCAGTGATGGATGTGATGAGCAACATATAACCATCAGGTCATGACAATACACAATCCCCAAGGTCACTGTGGGACCTGTCTATAGTAACATCTGGACCTGACAATCCAGTGATTGATTTGATGAGCAACACATAACCATCAGGTCATGACAATACACAATCCCCAAGGTCATTGTGGGACTTCCTTCTAAATATGAATCCCTGGAGATGTGGGCTCTGTTCCTCAAAGCCATCTCAGCACTTCAACTTTCGCAAGTCAGTGATAAAGAATGGAAATTACGATCGACATGGTGCTAAGATCTCTTTGTGGAACAGTGCCTTGGATGTGAACCAAATGTTCTTGGAGAGCTTTACTCTACATAGCATCATGCATATTGATTATTTGGGTAACAAATGAGTATCTTCTGTAAGGTGAAATACAGGCACAAAACAAGCTATAACATATAACATAGACTATGTCTCCAGTCATACAAAGAATGTTCAGACAAAGGATGTCACAATAGTCAAGCAATCAGCTCAAATATATTTGGGTTCACTATATATTGGATATAATCTTTGGTGATGACACGTTGATCAAAAGGATATTGTATTCTGGGGCTAGGAAGAGTCTTAATTTACTACCCAGGTACTAAAATGATGCTTAGTGTATGGATATATACAATTTTGATAGATACAAACAATTCCTTTTAAACTGAAGCCCATGTGACATTCTGGGACATTCAGAAAATCTAGACTTGCTTCATGTAGGGCTTGAGCATCACTGAAAGGGCTGGGCGGAGGGGGGAAATATTGTGGTAAAGGAATACTGAGTGATACTACCCAGGTACATGACCATCTATTTCTCAACCCTACCTAGCACTGAGGACTGGGCAAAACTATACAGATACAGGTATAATAAACCTGATTATACATTCACTCAAGAAGCTTGATCACACCTAGCACTGAGTGAGTGAGTAAGGTTTTATACCGCTTTAAGCAATATTCCACCAATATCACGGCGGGGAACACCAGAAATGGGCCTCTCACATTGTACCCATGTGGGGAATCAAACCCGGGGTCTTTGGCGTGATGAGTGATTTCTTTAACCATGTTAACAACTAGGCTACCTACTGCCCCCATACCCGTACTTGTATGCTCAGACAGAAGTGTGACATTAGTAGTTTGTAGCGTAACCATGGTGATGATGGAACCTTATTGTTACTGTCAGTGAACAAACTATGTGTCCAGGTTGTCCACAGGTATCAGAGCCCTAATCATAAGCTGCATGACCATATTGTATTCTCTGATTCAGTCAATAATTCAAAACACAATATGTTTGACTGGAGTTTTGTCCAGAAACTTACACAGTTTAAACCTTATTACAAGGAAGTAAGATAACAGTTTCACACAAGGTGTGATAAATTACAATTGCAGAACTAGACTGGAAATGGGTACCAGGTCATAAACCAGTCTGTCTGCAAAATATAAAAGTACAAGTTTGTACCTATCACATGGTGTAGACTAACAGCTAGTCTCTGAAAAGAACATATTTTACTGAGAAACAGTTCCTAAATTATCTTCATTAAATTTAATAAAAAGGAGCACAAAAACTCTCTTCATTTTCTGAAACTGGGGTAATCTAGACTTGCATGGGTTGTAATTGGTATGTTTGTTTAAGGGTCTGTATGACAGACAACTGCAGTCATCTTGGCTTCCCACATATTCTAGACTTGCATGAGCTGTATTGGGTATGTTTGTTTCAGGGTCTGTATGACAGACAACTGCAGTCATCTTGGCTTCCCACATATTCTAGACTTGCATGGGCTGTATTGGGTATGTTTGTTTCAGGGTCTGTATGACAGACAACTGCAGTCATCTTGGCTTCCCACATATTCTAGACTTGCATGGGCTGTATTGGGTATGTTTGTTTCAGGGTCCATATGGCAGACAACTGCAGTCATCTTGGCTTCCCACATATTCTACTTGCATGAGCTGTACTTGTTTGTTTCAGGGTCTGTATGACAGACAACTGCAGTCATCTTGGCTTCCCACATATTCTAGACTTGCATGGGTGGCTTCCAACAGATTCTAGACTGCATGGGTTGTAATTGGTATGTTTGTTTCATTGGCTGCAGTCATCAACATATTCTAGATGTATGTTTGTTTCAGGGTCTGTATGACAGACAACTGCAGTCATCTTGGCTTCCCACATATTCTAGACTTGCATGGGCTGTAATTGGTATGTTTGTTTCAGGGTCCATATGACAGACAACACATGATGCATCATGGCCCCGCCACAATGATCCAAGCAGCTTCACAACAATCAGGGTTTGTATAACAGAAGTCTGAGATAAGTATAATTCAGGAAGGTTGAGTGACATTTACTCAAGACTACCACTTCCACCATCGGGTAAATTCCGACACAGCAACAGTTCTCATTCGCCAACTAGTGAAATAAACAATTTCTAACACAGAAAATGTATATCACTCCAGTTATTGATGTCTTTAATAATTCATCCATATTCCCCATCCACTTGATAGCTTGTAATCTTGGCAGTAATTGGGAGAGGAAGATTTATGGCTACACAGTAGATGACTTATTGTTAATCCATCTGCTGTTTTTGTGTCATTTGATAATCAGAAACAGACAACCTCAAAAGATGCAAGTGTATGCTTGTGAAGCAGCAGAGCAAGTTTTCTTTACTGATTCCGGTGACGGTATGTCCCATCACACTGTATGATTGTTATCTTGGCAAATATTCATGACTTTCTTTAAATGGTTCAATACCTCCTATCTGGAACAACATGCTGCCTGGCGACTTGTATCATCATGCCTTTCATCAAGGGAATTTCTACCATGAATTTGGAAATTATTCGATTTATATATCTTGAAGACTCTATAATGTAAATAATCAGCAATGTAGCATCACTGGACTGGAAGGCTTGACCCAAGCAGGGGGGTCTCCCACTGTAAACAACATTGGGTTGTACACAGCCAGCCACCTGTTACAACTGTTACAAATGTCAATATACAGAGGGATACCACAGTAACCACTTAATATTAAATCACCCTACTTCATTCAATATCTTGTCTAAGACTAAAGAGTTTGTGCCCTATTATGTCCTGGTAAATATTGAAAATTACAAAGTGTGTTTTCAATGTAGAGCTAGGTTACCCATTGAATTAACTATACTAACACATTTGGGACCTCTCCTAATTCAACACTATCCTTTGTTGACTGGAGAGTTAAACCAACTGATCAACTAAGAGGGCATCCCACTTGTACGAATGTCAGTTGCCAAATCTATGTCCACAAACAGGATGCTATCATCTACATGTTCATTCTGAACAGTGTGAAATCTACCGGTAGCATAGCCCTACATCATAAACAGTACTGGTATGCTATCTCCTTCAGAACACAGTTGGAGATGTTTAACTGATAGAGCTTCACTTCTGTATGACATTGCCTGATGTCTACAAACAGGATGCTATCACCAGTGCACTCCCATTTTCTTTAACGCATGGGAAGACAAATCCAATCACAGCTAATGTGCAATAAAATTAAGTATTCTATCATGAATATCAACAGAATAAAAAATTTAAGGGGGTCATAGGGACAGTTTTCTGTAGTATGTGGATCTGGGGACACAAAAGTTTAACTTTGAAATATTTCAGGGAGTGACAAGGACACCTGATTTTCATTCTCATTTTCAACTTAAGCTAATGATTCTTCCAAACTTTAATTGCATGCATAAGAATCTAGTACCAAAATATACAATAAAATAACAGTGTCAAAAATATTAGCATGAAGCCTGAGATGAAAGTTATCAATGTTCAACCCAATCAAATATAAGAGGTGAAGATTTCATGAACCCCTATAATTTTGAACACTGAATTACATATACATATTCCTCTGAATACACAACGCCTTTGAGAAAGAGGTCAAATGTACCATGTGTCACCCACTTTCTTAAGAAAGTACAAATTTTATAACTTTCTGGGAGTAGGTACCATCCAAGTTTTGGATTTAATTCTTAACTTTGAAAATATGCAATCTTATTAATTATGACTGTTGCCATTTCAATTAGAACACATTCAGCTGTTGTTGATGTGGAAGTGATGTAATCATGTCAATTACAGCAGTTCCCAGGCCCCAGCTACTGTTACATAACACTGTAATTAACATTCCTGAACAGCCCCACAGCCCCACTAATCACTGGAAGCCATCACACATCACTGAACAATTAATATCTCTGGTCGCTTGTGAACATATAATGCTCATACCTACAGATTTGATATTGTAGGGTGTGGATAATATGTCAATCTATTGCACCCCACCGATCCGAAATATTCCATTTTCAACATGTTTTACATACATGTACCCTTGAACTAGCTAACCTGCCAAATGAACTAGCTAACCAGCCAACATTTCAACATCGAATAGATATGTTAATTGAATTTTAATTGAATAAGGCGTTTTAAGTGCTAGTAGATATCACATTAACTTTAATAATAATAAGTCCATTTGTATACAGCCCTATATCCAATCACCAACTTTAGGCTGTCAATGGTTGTCATGATAAAGAAGACAGAAAATATTCAAATGTTTGGTTAGTGCATTCTGTTTGAGAACAAATGTTATAATTGTTGGAATGTACCAAAATGTCTACAATAAGAAAACTACCTAGTTGTTATTCATTATTGTTATGCCATGTTATTAGACTGAGGCTTAGTCTGTGAAAATATCTAATGTCTAAGAAAACAAATACATGTAGTTCTATTCAAATTGAAAAGGAGCCCCAGTGAGATGGATTCTTAGGTTCAGCAAGAAACTGAGGAAACAATAGACTTGATTCATTTGTGGCTTTTGCATAACAGTAAGGGCTGGGTAGAAGGGGAAGTAATATGGTTCAAGAACTGTGAGACAGACTGCCAAGATGGAAGTCTCATTATCAATTAAGAGAATATTGGAATTTGGAGAGACAAGTCCAATGACATCTGGGTCAGGATGACCGGAAGGTTAAGTTGAGATACTCATGATGTAATGACTATGTTATATTATCAGTTGACAGACTGGTATATATTAATCATACGATAAAAAGTTGATTGAAGATACTTAAGAGATAAACACTCTTCACAACTGATAACAAGATAACCTAAACAAGGAGCAGGCTGTATATGCATTGGAAGCAGATACATAAGATACCAAAGTATGGTATTATTGATCGGAAGTGAAACTCCCCTATGCAGTCATCACAGCTACAATAAACTATGTCATAATGAACTCAAAGTGACTACCCATTTCAGTTCACTATAACCTCAGTTCATTATAAGCATTTTGACTATCAGCATCTTCCATCGCGTCACGTGACTATATAATGTTTACTTGAAAAAAAGTAATGAGCACTGCATATGTACAGCTCTTATTTAACTAAAACATTACTTAACATAAGTAAATACATATAAATATATTATTGACAGTGTCACTGACATACCGGCACAAGGGCCACAAGCTTTCGGTCCGATAATTTGTGATTTTTGCTTTGAACAATTGTTGAGAAAGAGATCTGGCAGAGTGTAGTCACAATGTCATCAATGTTTTCAAATAGTTCACATAATACACCAGAGAGAACAAATGGCTTTCTGAATAGCTGTATAAGTTGGCATGAGTTCTGATTCGCTTGGAGACCCGTGAAGGTCCGGGTTAGAATGAATCTTCAGTAACCCATGCTTGTCGTGAGAGGCGACTAACAGGATCAGGTGGTCAGACTCGCTGGCTTGGTTGACACATGTCATCGGTTCCCAGTTGCACAGAAATCGATGCTCATGCTGTTGATCACTGGATTGTCTGGTCCAGACTCGATTATTTACAGACCGCTGCCATATAGCTGGAATATTGCTGAGTGCAGCGCAGAACTAAACTCACTCACTGATTCGTTTGGCGGTTCAGTCTCAGATAAATCATAACAAGGGGGTGGAAGGTGGGACGTCGTTCAGCTGTGGTGATGTCATCATAGAATGTCAGATAATCTTCCATGGCCACATCTCATGTGATAGTCCTTACACCTCAGGCCACAGGTCACACAATTTCAGCCAGGCCATAGTGTCTTCATTATCAGAGACTTTATAATCAACAGGAGACATCTACGAGAAGCAGATGATGATGCATGCCAAGCACATCTTCTGTTGAGCATGGATACATAGGCATTAAACAGGCTGCTCATCATTTCACTCATGGGTTGATCATACACACAACACCCCTTCATCTGTAAAGTACCATATTTACCTTTCTTTCAAACATCATCAAAAGGGATGACTTGAAACGTAACCTCAATGTCTGACATCACAATTTTATCAAAACTGAATTTTCTTATTCAAAACATATCCACTTCATAGGTAGGGCTGGGACAATTCACCGATGCATCAATGCATCGCGATACATTTAAGTTTGATACAGCTATCGTAGACTGGTGTATCGATACAAAACGATACACAACTTTTTTTTTGGAAACAGTGTTATCCTTAACATGTTACAGTACTTATTTAGAGAAAAATATGCAAGTATGATGGAGTTACTTGTTTGTTTATTACAATAGTGTTATTGTTAAACACAAATATCTTGAAATAAATCCTTTTAAATCTTGATACCATATCATTCTTTCAAGGTGTATGCATCGTGATACGCATTGTATCGCAGGTAAAATATCGCAATATGTATCGTATCGTGACATACAGTATCATCCCAGCCCTATTCATAGGAGTTAGCCAATTCAATGTTTTACTATTGTTTTACTGAGGTTGTGAACTGACAACAAGGTGTCATTACTTAATCCATTAGCTTGTTATAAGTCTGTGTGTTACATCCATATATTTCACAGGATATAATAAACAGTAAATGGCCAGGACCGAAAAAGGACAGTTTGTTTTATCTGTCAGTTAGTCATATTTATGTCTGTAACAAACAGTCTTCAGCTGATCAATACATCAACAATATCATAACACAAGAAGTTCAGTGACCCAATAGCTGGGAATACAATGGGTCAGGCTACCAAAACATTAAGTCAGGTGTACCTGTAAACTGCTTAGAAATAGAGGGTCAAGTGTATTTTTAGGAGTCAATGACCATGTACATTTGGTTAACCAAATCATTTCAAGGACGAAGCAGTATAGCAGAGCCATGAGTTGATATGGAGTTTAGGTCCTGTACTCATGGAATTATTCACAACACACAATAAAAGTGTGTACTGTAGCACATAAACAATCATTCTATAATGTCTATTTTAAAAGGTCTAGAACAAGAGTGAACAGTTATTGCTGGCGTTAACGTAATCTCATTGTCTCTTGATCAGGAAATTTGGAGACGCACAAACAAGACATATATTATTTACCGTACAATAGGATCTATGTCACAATGTAGTAAACACGTGTGACCAAATATGACGGACTCTTAAATCAATTCACAATCAAAACATTGCAAATCCATCAACATTGATAACCCTCTTTCGGAGTAATTATCATAGGGAATAGACACGTTTATACAGAGATGCCAGGTTCAATGTATTCCGTTTTAATTTCACTTACCTGATGTTTTGCATCATAGCTAAAGGCTTTTCAAAAAGTTTTCTACTCATGTCTTCTGCTTTTTAGTTCCATACGGCTCGCGAACTCAACAGCTGATGTCATTTTCGTGGAAAACACGACCATTCGCGAATGATTCCTGCATAACGTATGCCTTCGATTTCATGTTGCAACATATTTCACATTCACAAAGTGTCCATAGAGCAAGTCTGCGAAGACAAGATTTTGTTAGGAGGCATTCCGACGTGGAAATGTTATCATTTAGCTTCACGCCCACGAAATCAGCCATTTATGTTTTCCATAACCTACTTCCGTTTAGTCAAAGGGAGGAAACTCTCGTTCACAAGCAAATCAAGGCTGATCACTAGTAAAATAAATTAAACCCGTCTTCTGGTGTCATATACTTTTCAACATTGTTTCAGTATATTTCATTAACAAGCACGTGGAATATCATATGTATATGAATAAGTAATTATTTCATAATATACAATCATATATCTTATCTTGGATATTATATACCCACAAACCTATAGTGAAAGAAACTAATACGGAAAACTGTTCTCAAACCCATGTAGCAAAAGTAGCTTCCGAGTGTAGATTACAAATTAACGAAACTGTTTATTTGAGGATGCTTTAAATTTTAAAATTCGAAAAAAACTAACGAGAAAATAAAGTTCATGACATTGTGACACTGGTGTTTACAATCTCTCTATGGGACTTCATGTATCTTTGGTTATTGCATATAAGCAGTCATGGTTGGTGCAGCTTGTCATAGCTAATGAAACCAAACACCAACTTCGCCATATCTGGTTAAATCGACAGCAGCTGCAACGGCTCTAAACGTCCACATTTCTACACGGAACAAGACAATGATGAATGCCGCGATCTGCTCATTTCGATGGACGCGTAATTGGGGGGAAGACACATGAACGACGCGATAGCTCCCGTGGGCAATCTTCAACTGACTGATCACAATGGCTCTGTACACCGCAGAAGATGACGGCGCTGTCCTGAGTTCCACCTCTGCAAGATAGGCTGTATCAAACATTTTGCATATTTAGTTTTACGATGCAGGTTGAGCTAAAGGCATCCCTGCCAAAGGTAAAGGAAAAGGATTAATTTCAACTATTGACCCACTAGAAGTTGTAAATGTAATTGCATCAGGAATGTTCTTTTTTAGTTTTCTTTCAGTTTTCAATTGCGTTGAAACTTTTTTAAATACGTTGGCAACTAAAGAACACTGCAAAATTAAAATCCCCAACATAACTGTAATACCCGTATGAAATGCATACCCATCTAGTGACCATTTCTGATGCGTTTCATGTCAGCCATTATCAAACATGAATGTACACTTTCTTTTGCCAGAGAGTTTTGTCTTCATACGTTTTGGACATGTTGACACGACACTAATATGACTGAAATGAACAATAATGCTTATTTTCTATAATCCACTTGAGAAAATCTAACACAGGGTAATCTCAGTTAACAAAGGTGTTTTCGTTTGTTTGTAGTGTTTGTAGATCATGACCAGCCTTTGTCTCAATGTCCAGTGTATAAATGGGTTTAATTGAAGGCCACGAATGGTGGACAATGTGGGTATCGATGGACATTTACGGGTTGGGTGAGTGAGTGAGTTGAGTTTTACGCCGCACTCAGCAATATTCCAGCTATATGGCGGCGGTCTGTAAATAATCGGATCTGGACCTGACAATCCAGGGATCAATAGCATGAACATCGATCTACACAATATTGGGATGTGATGACATGTGTCAACCCAGTCAGCGAGCCTGACCTCCCGATCCCGTTAGTCGCCTCTTACGACAAGCATGGGTTACTGAAGGTTCATTCTAACCCGGACCTTCACGGGTTAACGGGTTGGGTGACACACTAGGCTACCACTGACACCAGTCTTGCCTCTATTGGCAGTTGTGTCGAGTATATTCCATTAGCAGTGTTTCGGTGGGACGAATCCTTGTATGTTTTGTTTTGTATTTTTTTTTTTTTGTTTTGTTTTTTTGTTGTTTTGTGTGTTTTGTTGTTGTTGTTGTGTGTGTGTTTTTGTTTTTTGTTGTTGTTGTTTTGGTTGTTTTTGACATTTCTGCTTAGGATCCTCTGCCGTGAAAAGAATGACTGAGTATAGGCATTCTCGTCTCCTTGATAAGTATACAACTTATGATTACGATAGGTTTTCCTCTTTTCCTACCGGGTATCCATTTAGTGGCATACAGACATACATGCATGTTTCAAACTTTTCCCAAAGGAGACAGCAGACTGATGTTAGCAAAATCACTGCGGGGGACACCAAAAATGGACTTCACACATTGTACCTCTGTGGGAAATCGAACCCAGGTCTTCAGCAGGACGAGGAACGCACTAACCACTAAGCTACTCCACCGTCCCTATCCTGACAGAGAGTGACAGGGTGTCACGTGCTGACTTTACGGGTATATTAATCTGTCATCTACCAGTCCGCGAGTGAGTAAGGTTCAACACCACTTAGCATTTCAGTATCATCAAGGCGTGCCACCTAAATGTACGAGGGAAGACCAAAGTGACGCAGCGTCTCGAGAGCATGGTTTTAAACTGATGGAGAAAATGTTTTAGTCGGGTATTAAAACAAAACTCTGAACAGCGAAAAACAGTATGTGTGAATGAATGACTTGAGTTTTACGCCGCTTCGACAGTTATCGCACTAGGTGTCAGAGCTTGATTGGGGAGGGAGACCCATGAAGATCCGGGTTTGAATTTGTCTCCACCAAACCAAGATTGTCGTAAGAGGCGACTAAAGGGATCGGGTGGTCAGGCTCACTGACTTGGTTGACACATGTCATCGTATCCCAAATGCGTATAGAGCAATGCCCATGCTGTTGATCACTGGATTGTCTGGCCCTGAATTGACCGCCATATAGCTGGGATATTGCTGACTGCGGCGTTCAACAATAAACCAACCAAACCAATGATTGGGGAGGGAAGGTGTTAGTGACAAAGTCCAATGACGGCTACAGTCACAACATTATACTAGTCACAAGCGAGAAACATCTGGTTTTGAACCCCAAACCAAGTACTTATCGCATTATTTCGCATGTTTGGGTGTTTGCCAACTTCACAGGGTCAGGGGTCACTATCGGAGTATCGTGGGACCCGCTCGAGACCATGGACAATCATGGTAATCGGGGATTATCTGCAGATCTTAGATGAATGAATTAGTGAGTATGTTTAAACTGAACTCTTTCCAACATGCTACTCCTGACAGTGCCAAATGTTGAGCTTTAAAGATAGCCCCTAACAAATGTAATCATCATCGTCATCATCATCATCGTCACTATCATCATCATCGACACTGTTATGTACAATACATATTGGAAGAGTGATTGAGTATCATTTTACGCCGCTTTTAGCAATATTCCAGCAACATCACGACCGGGACACAAGAAATAGGCTCACACATAGTACCCATGTGGGGAATTGAACCCGGGCCTTCGCCGTGACGAGCGAACGCTCTAACCACTAGGCGACCCCATCACCCCTTATTGGAAGACATGTAGTGACAACAACAGTGGGTTTCGCACTAGTACGACTGGTTCCTAGAAGCCAAGGGTCATAATCAGGGCAAATTCAGAGATGAATAGCGGATACTGGAGTGCCAAAGGGAAGCGGCTCTGCACAGCAAAGGGCAGATCCTTGCCTGACTGTTCCGACTACTTTTCCGATTGCAGTGATATTGCAATATTGCATCCTATATGAGTAAAAATTCTTTCATACATTCATTCGTCCCTCTGATATTGTATTAAAGGCTACACCAAAAGTTATTAAGGAACTGGGTGAATCGATTTTTATGCATCATCAGCAGTTCAGTAGCTCCAATCTCCAGATATGACACACTTAACAGCATCACTGTCTGCATGCCAACGAGAGACAAGTATATCTTTATTAAGCTTCACCGCATGCATTCAGTGACAAAGCTCACATTTTCGAGAGTAGATTACCCAAGTAAATGGCGCATTCAGCCCAGCGAGGAACCAAGGTGGCCCGATGCAGTTCCGATCGATGGCCAGTTTCTGCGGCTTGCGGTGTCCGAATGTGACGGTCAGGACCTGCACCCAGTGGTCAGCAAGCTCTCGCCCGATTTATCTTTTGATGTCGAAAATGATCAATTCTAGTGATTAGCCCCTGGCACTTCCCGCCTCGGAACGCCGAGGCCGACTTCCGTACTTCCCGATTCGACTCTTCTTCCTTTGTCTTCAGCCGTAGGACGGTGGTACTTAAATAATTACTCGGGCCGTTTGAAGACAAATACATTTACTGCATTTGATTTAACTCTTGAGAAAAAAAAACTACTTTGACGTTTTGAGTAAGCTAGATCGATGAGAAACGGTTAAGAGCTGATTACATTGAATCTGCACCTTTCTAGGAAAGATGACCGGCATAAACACGGACATTGGCGGAAGAGCCCGAACAAACACGACCTGACGATAGAAGCATCGTATATCCACATCATCGATGGAAGGAATAATTACGTAAATTTTGAAAAAACAAGAGTTTTTTCCTTCATTGTCTAAGGTATCATCGTCGAACATAGGTCAGTCAAAATCATTCCAATATGTCCATCATGGGACGATATTGATTTTTAATTCAAAAGACTGTTAATTCCGATTTTACAGGGAAGGGCAGAAATAGAATGGTAAAATATTCATGTGCTCAATTTTGAGAACACTGGAGAATTAATGAAAGGAAGTACAAAGATAAAATGCCCTTACCAGGCGTGGATCAGCTCTCGCACGTTTGACAGTATACTAACGCTTAGTCCCTGAATATATATAATTTTGATAGTAACTTTACTACACCTAAACCCATTTGAATTGAAAAGGAGCCCCAGTGAGTTGGGAGATTCAGGCTGGACCTGGGGAAGTCGAGACTTGCATCATTTAGTGCTTTAGCATCGGGGAGGGCAAGGCACTAGGGAAATAATGTGGTTCAGGGACTGTGCATGAGACAGACTACTTTTGTCACAAACACTGTAAAGGTGACAAATCTATCACTAAACCTGCTAGCGTAATTTTGCTACATTTGCTAGTCGGTCATATCGACCGTATACCGACCTAGGTAACATGGCCTTGATAAGTATAGCGTCCTTGTTGTGGTCCCACATGATAGTTCTGCTTCGAGTTCTTTATAAACGTTTGTACGTGGTATTCCTCCAAGAGATGAAATCATTAACGTGCACCATCATTCAGGATACTGGCGATGGCTGCACTTGCGTTGCTTCACCTTTATCAAGTGTATATGTATAATAGCATCTTCCGGATCTATTCTGATTAATTAAGCAGGCAGCCATATTGACGATTTATTTGTGTGTAGCATGTATTTAATAATGACTTGGAATAATCATTTTTATTCTTGTAACGGTCAAAATAGAGAGTGATTGTATCAAATTAATATCTGTCCAAGCTATCCAAATCTTCTTTTATCACGTTAATGTCACGTTTATACAACTTTATAAGTGTAATGATGACTGTGGTTCTGTTTCCTTCTCTTGGAAATACAACCTGAATACATTAGCCTCATTTATCTGACAGTGTTATATTTATTCCGAACATGTAAGCAAATTAATCTAGTTGAGCATGCAGGTTTGCTTTTCAGAATTACACAAGCATTCAAAGTTTGTTTGCTGTCAAACGCCGCACTCAGCAATTCTCACGCTGTATGACGGCGGTATGTAAACAATCCAGTCTGGACCAGACAATCCAGTGACTGACGTCATGAGCATCAGTATACGCGATTGGGATAAGATGACAAAAAGTCAGCGAGCTTGACCACCCGATCCCGTTAGTCTTACGACAGGCATAAGCTGCAGAAGATCCGTTCTAACCCGGATGTTCACGGGGACAATACAAAGTAATTGATGCCCAAACATTATTTATCTTGCAGTGTGAGTAAACAATAAATTAGATCAACTGAGCATGCTAAGTAGCCATTGATATTCGTCGGCCATGTACTGATTATCATCCATGACCACATGTTTGACATGTTGAAAATCCACTGGAAACCATTTCACCCAGATGTGTGATTCACGTCTCTGCCTGAAATATTGCCGATGTGACGTTAAATAGTAACTCACTCACTCTGCCTGAACACACTTTGGCCTGTTTATTTGTCTTCTTCAGGAACACTGATTGCCCGCAAGGATCCGATTGCTGTGACTTTCATATTGGCATCGATTATGACACTCTTTTGACAGCAATATGTTTGTCCAAAGGATTTCACCAAACGTGTAAACACCACCGACCTCATCCGGGCATTTCCTCCATGTTTTAAAGCTAAATTTGCGATTTTAGTTAAACACTAATATTACTGTTTATAGCGGCGTAAAACCTTACTCACTAGAATGTACCAACTGTTTCGTATAGATTAATTTTGCTTCTGTAATTGCAGATACTACACGTAACTGACGTACTACTACTGCTACTACTACTACTGCTGCTGCTACTACTGCTGCTGCTACTACTATGTTAAGCTAAATTTGCGATTTTAGTTAAACACTACAATTACTGTTAATAGCGGCGTAAAACCTTGCTCACTACAATGTACAAACTGTTTCGTATAGATTACTGTTGCTTCTGTAATTGCAGATACTACACGTAACTGACGTACTACTACTGCTACTGCTGCTGCTACTACTACTACTACTACTACTACTACTACTACTACTACTACTACTACTACTACTACTACTACTACTACTACTGCTGCTGCTGCTGCTGCTGCTGCGCTGCTGCTACACAACACCACCGGCACTGCTAAGGGACTCTGTTCAAGGATTAGGTCAGAATCTTATGGCAACCCTGCTCACCAATGACGAGTAGTGAGTTCTTCCCCCAAACATACCTCCTTGGACCAGCCATTAAAGAAGGCTTAACTCTCCCCCTAGGATGTATGATGGCTACAGCTACAGGCTGACAGCTTAATGTGTCTGTTGGCTTGTCATTAGCCGAGTGTGGCACCTAGGCGACCCTGAAGCCAGCCTGGTTCCCGTTCCACTAAACGATCTTAGCACTACGTCTCTCTTAAGCCAGTGCCACAGTATCGGAGCTACGAGCGTGACGGTGCTACGAACATATGGCCCGGAGTGATTAGATGAAAACATTAACAGACAGACAGACAGACAATACTTTATTACCTTAAAAGGAATTCGTTTTGGATCACAGAGCTTGACAAAAATACAAATGAATAACAACATAAAATATGAAATTACTAAAAACATAAAAATAGACAAATATGTGCTTAAAAATAATTAAATGAATAAGAGGATAACTGGACATACAACATTTGCAATACTTTGAGGTACAAAAGACGTTCGAGCTCATTTAGTATATTTTTGTGATTGGTACTGTGTAGCGGCGGCTCGAAGGTAAAAGCTTATTCTCTAGATTTAAAAAATGTGTTGTGTCATTAACACATTTTTTAAATCTACAGTATAAGTTTTGGACGGATCCATTACAATGTGAAAGGGCGGTGAGGTAGCGCAGTGGTTAAAGCGTCCGTTCGTCATGCCGAAGATCCGGGTTCGATTCCCCACATGGGTACTATGTGTGAAGCCCATTCCTAGTGTCCCCCGCCGTGATAATGGTGGAATAGAAAAGCTGCTTAAAACCTTACTCACTCACTACAGTGTACCAACTGTTTGGTTTATATTGCTGTTGCCTCTGTAACTACCGATACTACAACTGACGTACAACTACTGCAGCCGCGGCTCCTGCTACTACTATTACTACTACCACTACTACTATTGGTATTTCCACTACTGCCCTTTTAAGTTATTAGTTCGCTGAAAAAATAAATGCAAGGTTAGATATATGCAACCAAATTTCGTCTCATTGTTTGTGGATCTGTGACCCAAAATTGTACAAATGTTCCAAAAATTAAAACCCACAGGAGTCTGTTAATCAAATTTAAATATCCACCCACCGCATTTGTTCAATAAAGGAGCAGAGGAGTATTTGTTTGTTGCTTAACGCCACACTCACCACTATTTCAGCTGTATGACGGTGTACTGTAAATAATTCGGGTCTGGAGCAAACAATCCAGTTATCGACATGGTGGGCAATGATCCACGCCATCTGGTGACGATGACGCCTAATGAGCCATGCCACCGTGCCTGACCGCTCCGTCCAATCAGTGTGGGAAGTAGTTTCCAAATTTGGCTAGCCAGTCGAGCTAGCTATATGCCTGAAAGCTAATAGCCCACAAAATAATTCACTAACCCGAAATTTGAATGTAGAAACTAAGCCAAATATTACAAAAAGGTAAAATACCATCATTTATCTGGCCATAATCGTGCATGTTTTATAAGTGTATTTATAATTTAACAAATCGCAGAGATTGATGTATTTAAAAAATGAACCCACGAAAATTCACTAGACAGTCGGGCCAGTGACTGTGGAGATTTACTAGTCCGACTGGACATTTACTAGCTACGGGCTAGCGGGCCAGTGGCTATTTCGCACACTGGAGACGTAGACTAGCGCTGTAATCTCTTCGATAGGCTTGTTATGATATCACTTTTAAATAATAATGTTTGCAATACATTTTTCTTATAATTTTCACTAATAAATCCGTAATACCAGTGATGTAGAAAGAAGATTATAATTATCAACCCCAAGTAGATTTGGATTGAATCATCAGTTGACTAGTACAAGTACATGTATGTTGAAACATTAATTCACAATAAAGTAAAACATCGATGCCAATGCAACGGAAATTAAAGAAGCGCCAGTAAAAGGATCTCTACAGCCACGCAGCCCTGGTGAGCGTTCGTGGCGGACGTTGTCATTGATGGGCAAATGCTTCTGTCATTATCACTGGTTGGCACAGATACACAATGCCTGGGTATCATTAGTCAAGCTACCGCCAGGATATACTTGCCACCATACGTGTTATACGATCAGGATATACCTGCCACCACACACTGAGATACAACTAGTATATATACGGCTTGCCACAACACGCTGCATACAACGATGACATTCCTGCAAAAACACATGGGAAACCGACATAATATACCTGCCACCACACATGGAATGCCATCAGGATATACCAGTCATCACACATTGGATACCACCACACATGGATACCACCACGATAAACCTGCCACAACACATGAATACCACCTCGATATACCTGCCACCACACATGGGATACCACCAGGACATACCTGCCACCACACATCGGATACCACCAGTATATACCTGATACCACACATGGGATACCACCAGGATATACCTGCCACCACACATGGGATACCACCAGTACATACCTGCTACCACACATGGGATACCACCAGGATATACCTGCCACCACACATGGGATACCACCAGGATATACCTGCCACCAACATGGGATACCACCAGGATATACCTGCCACCAACATGGGATACCACCAGGATATACCTGCCACCAACATGGGATACCACCAGGATATACCTGCCACCACACATCGGATACCACCATGATATACCTGCCACCACACATGGGATACCACCATGATAAACCTGCCACCACACATGGGATACCACCAGGATATACCTGCCACCACACATGGGATACCACCACGATATACCTGCCACCACACGTGAGATACCACCACGATATACCTACCACCACACGTGACATACCACCAGGATATAACTGCCACAATACATGGGATATCACCAGGATATACCTGCCACCAACATGGGATACCACCAGGATATACCTGCCACCACACATCGGATACCACCATGATATACCTGCCACCACACATGGGATACCACCAGGATATACCTGCCACCACACATGGGATACCACCATGATATACCTGCCACCACATAAGATACCACCAGGACATACCTGCCACCACACATGGGATACCACCACGATATACCTGCCACCACACATGGGATACCACCACGATATACCTGCCACCACACGTGAGATACCACCACGATATACCTACCACCACACGTGACATACCACCAGGATATAACTGCCACAATACATGGGATATCACCAGGATATACCTGCCACCATACATGCGATGCCACCAGGATATACCTGCCGCCATACATGAGATATCACTTGGATATACCTGCCACCACACGTGAGATACCACCACGATATACATGCCACCTCACGTGAGATACCACAAGGATATACATGCCACAATAGCATATACCTGCCCACATACATGGGATACCACCAGGACATACCTACCACCACACATGGGATACCACCAGGACACACCTGCCATCACACATGGGATACCACCATGTTATACCTGACACCACACATGAGATACCACCACGATAGACCTGTTACCACACGTGAGATACCACCACGATATACATGCCACCACACGTGAGATGCCACAAGGATATACCTGCCACCACACACGGGAGACCACCACGATATACATGCCACCACACGTGAGATACCATCAGGATATACCTGCCACCACACATTGGTACCACCAGGATATACCTGCCACCCCACATCAGATACCACCACGATATACCTGCCACCACACGGGAGATACCACCACGATATACCTGCCACCACACATGGGATACCACCAGGACAAACCTGCCACCACACACGGGATACCACCAGGATATACTCGCCACCATACATGGGATACCAACGTGG